GGGGGGGGGGCACAGGTATGATTTTCGCATAATTTTTAGATGAAGCCGTGTGCCATATCGTGTATTCAGGCGGGCACCTTGCCTCCTATCTGATCAGGGCGACCTATGAATCTAAATTATCTAAAAGAGTATACATCAGGCTTCATCAAACCACAGGTACGTTTAGATTTATCTACCTTAAAGTCGGTTTCCTAAGCGTTTTTGTTTGGTTTGTTTCACAACTAGTGACTTACCTCCGCCATTTCTTTGCGACATCGACCCACATCCGGGATATTTCCCGCCGTGTTCACGTTATTTATCGCGTCTTCTCGCGAGATTTGGGGATAGAGCATCCTGGGAAATCTTATAGTACCGAGAGTTCCAACATGGCGGCCTCCAGGTTCTTCCTTCGACATTGTCGTAAGTTTTGGAAACTTTACGCCCAATAGAAAAAAAGAAAGCAGGATTAATCACGCCAACATGATAAGACTAAGTTTGTAGATTGTATGTGCGATCGCGGACTGTTTAACTGGGCTACAAAAGCATAGGTCGTCGGGTATATGGGGCGCCGGCGGATGGCCCGAAAATAGAAACGCTCTGATACGGGGTTAAGATTTTGTCAGTGATATGCTCTTGATAATAAATAATAAACCTAATGCACTACTACAGTAACTAGATTATATCCTTGAAGTTTTTTGGGAGTTACCGTTTTGCTTTTAAACTGGACCATTGATGTGCCGATGACAGCATCAATACTTACGAAGGTCGACAATTTCAGCAGGGGTCATAAACAGTCATTTATTACTCACACTCCTTGGTTCAAAATCAAGAGAAGGGGGTTTGTTCACTTTGAACATCAGACAGTAGGGCAAATATCTCACAAAAGTCTTTCATTCTGCACAGTTGTTCCGGTGCTTAATCAACGGTCCACTTGGCCTCAGCACTGGTGGCCTATTTTGCGGAAGAAAATATATGGCCTTGACTTAAGTTGTTTCAGTGACTGAAACACCAGTGCTGAATCCAAGAATAATATTTTGTGATCCAGTTTTGTTGCAAAGGTGGAGTATTGTTGAAACTTGACTTTTATCCCGTTGCAGTCCAACAGTTGGGGGTCAGGCACTGTTACACCGCAACTCGACCAAACCTTGCCATAGGAAAGGACACCAAAGTCATCTGCCAGGGCTTTACTGGGAAACAGGTACATGTACTTAAGATATTATATGGGCCTTTTTTTCCAATGCCAGGCTTGATTGTATATGTATGGGTGTGAAGAGTCACAATGGTGTGTAACCATAACCAACATCGGGCTCTACTAGTACATGTATTACTGTAATCAGCTAGATTTTTTGGTCAGCTCAGGTTCTACAAGGTACCACTGACCTTGCAGCTGTTGCATGTATGACTGCAAAGCCTTGATCGTGCTGCTCACAGTTAAAGATTTATTCGCTACCATCTCTTAAGAGGAAACGGTCTTTATTTTTTCTTCGCAGGGAACATTTCACAGCCAGCAGTCGATAGAGTATGGCTCTCAGATGGTGGGAGGCGTGTCACCAGGCAAGGGAGGGAAGACTCACCTCGGACTACCTGTCTTCAACTCCGTCATAGAGGTAACACAACACCTTACATGAAAAGCTATCTACCACCGAAAATTAAGACCATAGCATGTCCAGGACAAAAAAAAATAGAAAAGTAACATTTGCAAAGCAAATGCATAATGTTTACCTTTGCATATGGTCTGCTCTGTTAATTCTTACTCAAACAGATTCACATATATGGTGGCAGGAGTCTAAATCCCTCCTAATATAAAATTGCAACATTATAATTTATATAACCCAACACCAGTTACCATGGTGAGAGACAGTCTGGTTCAGTCAGGTCAGAAGTCACTTTTTGGACAAGAAGAAGAAGAAACGTAGCAAAAACAATGTTCTCCTTTGGTTAACAGAAGTTTTGCTGTAGTACCAAGAAAAGCACAAAATTGGCCTAGACTTTTCTTTTCCAAAGACCTGCACACATACAAAATATCACAATCCATCTATAACCTCTTAACTTATGCACATTTTAGGACAAACACACAGACACACCCAACAAAATACCTTGTACAACACTGTTTACAGAGGTAAGAAGGTGGTTGTGTACAGGAACCCCGATTTTTCAAAGCATTCATGTGGTTTTGAATAAGAGACTGAGAGTTGTTGAATCTGTACTAGGCCAAAGAAGCCACCGGCGCTGTTGCGTCTGTCATCTACGTGCCGCCGCCGTTTGCTGGGAAGGCCATCCTGGAAGCCATCGATGCGGAGATGTCACTGGTGGTGTGCATCACGGAGGGAATTCCCCAGCAGGACATGGTTAAGGTCAAACATCGACTGGTCAGGCAGGACAAGACACGGCTCATCGGACCCAACTGTCCAGGAATTATCAAGGTAAGCAACTGGCATACTCCCCCAGGAAAATTTTGAAATCTTGACCCTCTAAGAGTTGCTGTTTCCTGCATTTTGAGGGGCAAATTTTGATTGGAGACTACATGTAATTTTGGTTTAATGACATCTCTTTGAAGTTTCCATATCTGGCAACTATCTTTACATAACGGTTTTTGTCCATCAAAGATGACAGATTGGGCAAAATTTTTTTCTGTCATGAGCAGCAAAATTCTGTCAATGGCAGAAAGATGAATACTGGCTAGAATGCTAGTAGTGTTATATACATGTACATGGTTAGTGTGAAAAGGAAAGTATTTTACACAGAGATGAGTTTTAATGATACCATTGCTCTGTCTTGTCCCTGCAGCCTGGAGAGTGTAAGATAGGAATCATGCCAGGACACATCCATCAAAAAGGAAACATAGGTAAGTACACATACTAAGTAAATAAAGAATGGTTCAAACAAACAACCTCAAGTTGCAAAATTGTGTTACACATCACCTGCCGGTATTGTAATAAATGTGTGCTGGTCTGCCGTCCAACTGTAACTCATAAGAAAATTTAAGGTAAAAAGTGGGCACTCTTAAGTTTTTTTGTCAGTTTGAAGGGTCACTTTGATGGGTCATCTTGGTAATGTGTAACCTTCACTCCACATACAAGTACTGACCCCTGGGCCTGCTCTGTTTGTCCACAGGTATTGTGTCCAGGTCAGGGACTCTGACGTATGAAGCCGTCCACCAGACCACCAGGGCCGGGCTGGGACAGACGTTATGTATCGGTCAGTCTACCCTTACTTACACTTTCCTCACTACTTTCTCTGTGGTTACCATGGAAAACTCCAACAATGAAAATATTGACACAGAGTTTTGTAGGGTATTGGTTTAATCTAGTTTGAGAGAGACACAACAGATTTATATTTTGGTAGCCAAGATAAGCTTTCTTGCCTGGATTTTAGCAAAATGTTAGCAAAATATGTGTAAAGATGCAGATACAACACAATAATTTGTACTGATAGTAGTTTAGATTATTATCATAAGGCCTAGGAAAAAAAATGTTGTGTTTCCGGTTACCCGACCGACCCTATGAAAAACCCCCCGACCCTAGCCTTTTTTGGGCCGACCAAAAATTTCGAGCGGCTAGCGGTCGGTTTTCAAAATTGGGGATTTTATCCCCGATAAATGTGCTCGTCATTCCAATTTTCTTCGGTCGGGCGGCGTGGATCGAGCGCTAATTGCACGGATCGGACCGCTATTCAATTTCCATTGTCGGCACAATCCTGTGAATTGACGATGAATTGTCGATCTCCCCATGACGCCACAAAGAAAACGTTGTCATTGGTAGAAAATCTGACACCCCGCTGGCGTTTCACAACAAAATTTTCATGTAAACAACTCCGACTGTCTTTGTTTACATCGCGAAAGCTCACCGATACAAAGTAAAACTCCCGCCGGCCGGCCGCGCCCGATCGCATGGTTGCGGCATGGCGCTAAGTTTTCGGCAGCTCGACGGAAAAATAATCCATCCCCAGAAGAAATGTTACGCATGAAAATAACAACTACAACTTGTTTTCCTCGTTATATGAGTTTTTGAGGCCGTAAAATGTTTAAAACGGTTGAAATTTGCTCGAAAAAACGGCTCGAAAATAGACGGCGAGAAAGACAACATGGCCGACCTGTTTTCACAATAACAATGGTCAAAGGTCAAGATAGCATCCAAATGTATAGATACATGTAATAAGTACATATTACAGTGCTAAAACGATACTTTAAACGCATGAAAAATATTTTTTCGGCTACAACTGAAATAAAAATTCAGTTATATTTTAGTAAGGTTAATTTTCAAACATTACTGAGAAATTTTCCGAATTAATTGGTTTCTTGTGTAATATTGTTGTTTCTATGTATGTGCGGTTGGATGCTGTCATTGTAAAGACCCTTTACATATTGGGAGAATCAGATGAGATATTAGAGATTATCACGCTTAGTACCGTGACCCGAGTGTCTGTCAAAAATTGTTTTTGAGTGGAGTTTATAAACATGATCACATTTTTATTTGTTCAGATGTGTCAATATGTGATTTGTTTGAGAAATAGGATTTGGTTTAGTTTTTAATATATTAATGTCAGTTAACATCTTTGGAATAAATTGCTCCAAGTTCCAGGTAGTAAATACATGTACATTTTGTATCATGTATTTTTCACTTGTTGAACTTGTGGAAGCACCGTTCGGCCCCCGGGTTAGGGGGTCATCCGGGGAACCTATGCCCAATTTTTTCAAAATTAAGGGTAGAATTTTTTTTGAACATGAGGATAATTAAGTACAGATCTTGAACCTTTCTACTGCCTTATACATCTGCAGTTGTACAGAAAATGTAGAACTGAAGTTGCAGGAAATGACCTCCATTTGTGTTTGGAAAAGACAAAATGCAATAGCTTCCCCCCCCC